CAAATTCAAAAATTTCTTCGCCCAAATGCTTCGAATAAAGTCTAGATTCGTTTTAGCGAAAAAAAAATTTGGGGGTTAGGTGCACTTTAAGCTGGCAGCAAAAGTTTGTCCGTTTACGAGAATCACGTGATCGAAAGAAGTCTACCAATCCTATAGATGAGAAGATTGGGTACTAGTTGACTTGTGTGAGTGGATTTTTTGCCTCCTTCGTGTTGGCCGTTTCGCTTTTGTGTACCATTCATCGATATTAAGATACTTCATTTTTCTTTTCCCAGCTTTCAGTTGCCAAGGTAGGGTTTTTTTTGCATGTATCGAAAATCTATCTTCGTATCCTTCGTAATTTCTGTTTTCATTTATGGAAAATCCAGCTTCTTAATTTCGTGTAGGCTTTGAAAATATTAACTGCAGTTGTATTGTTTATTGATAGCTTCCTTTCATCTTTCCTTCAGGTTTTCATATCGGGAGTTATTTTGCTCACACAAGCCACATATCCAGACTCGGCTTGTGGTTAGTGCAGGTTGCACAGGGTCTGGTACGTTTTCGCAGGCTAAAATTTATCGGCGAAACGAGTCATTGTAATTTTGCAAGCCAATATCTCGCTAACCAACTTATATGGGCTTGAACTGATTGATGTTAAACATATTTTCAGGGATTGTCAGAATTTCTCAGAAATTAAAAAAGACTGTAATGTACTTGCATTGTACTTGCATTGTTAGAAATACACTTGAACAGTATTAACAGACACCCTGTTCCTGCTTATTCAAGATCAAGTTCAAGTTAGTATGCGAACAATACCGGTCAAGAATCGGCTTTCATAACCATTTCGTGAATGCAAAGGATGTCTTCTCGCGTTTTAAGGATCAGGTCTGAAATATGATGTGCATGGCCTCAATTACGGACAACGATGTCGTAGGACAACGATGTCGTGGAGAATTTGCTACAATTCTCGAAGCTAAGACGTTAATTCTCACTCCAAAATTGAAACAAGCTGCTGCACAATACAAAATGTAGAATGAAGTGATGCTTTGGTTGACACAAATGATGTGCTACAAAGTGTATATATAAGGCAAACGAATGATGTGGAGGAAAATCTAGACCCTGCAATTTTTGATGTCATTGATTCGATCGTCATTTTCTGGGAATTAGAGCATGCATGAAAAGGACACGCACCCCAACTAAATGTAAACGTTCTAAACGTAGACAGTATCAAAAATTACTTGCGAGTGGCTTCCAGGATAACTTAAGCTTGTTTGTTTTAACCAATGTCGAGGTAAAACACTTGTCACAACACATTGGATATCAAAACAAATATTGTAGAGGGATTATTTAAGTTTAAGATAAGAATTCTACTCCAATTAACTAAAATACTGTTTTCGAATTAAAATTTCTGAAATTACTCCAATTGTGATGGCACAAATGTCTTTGTGTTTTAAAATGAGGTTAAAAAGCTTGCCTTTGAAAAGTTTAATAGTGTTGACAAACTTTAAGAGCAAATGTACCCAAAAATCAAAAATAGTTCGGTAAGGCTTGAAAGACCGAATTTGCCCTACTGTTGCATATAAGTAGGCCTTAGTAAAAGTAAAACCGCTATGTAGTTTTTTTCTTCAAATATCTTGGCATTTCCGAGAAAAAGGACATTATCGATTTAACGTCCAGACATCAATCTAACGAGTGCTAACTGGGCTGAAAATCGACCATTTTCATTCGATTCGCATTTCGGCACTATTGAGCGCAAAAATTTGTAATACAACCAACTTAATGCAGAACTATTCCTTGTCCAAAAAAGCCCAGTTTTAAGAATATTGGATTAATCCAACTATTTGGCGGTAAACAAAACCAAAGTGTTCTCCAACGGTGAGTTCGTCAGTCGGTAAAAAGAATTCTCATTTTGACCATGTGCCATGTCTCGGAATTCCAAAAGATTTAAGATTCTAACTATACCAGGATAGGTCTTTCAATACATGTAAAGTTTAGTTTGGGCAAATGATTAGGCACTCGTCAAAAAATTGTTCAAATCACACACAAAAAAATTAAAATAACGCCAGCAGTCGAATGCGTGACCAAAAGTGCTACCATTGTTTTTGTCATCAAATCACTTCAATTCGAAATATCACAAGAATATCAGCACGACTTAAGCATAAAACAATATAAATATGTTTACCTTAGCTGGGTTATCATGTCTTGACTATCAAACAACATTCCCATCCTGTCATTTTAACGATGTTCCATTACCTGTACGCATTCGTCTGGTGAATCTGAATCCCCCAAATCGCTCAATATTACCAAGTTCCTTTGTACCGAAATGTTCTTACGTTTTCCGTTTTGTTGTTCGGTACAATCAGTCAACCTGCTTTCAGGCAGAAATCCCCAGTAATTAGCAATAACAAATAAGCCGCCACCTTCGATCGTCCGCGTCTCTTGTTTGCATATTGTCCAGCAAAAGTCTTTGCACACCGGGTAGGGGTAGAGTGGGGATTATATTCGAAAGAAAAAGCGTTAGAATTTTTCCAATATCTCGATGTTAGTTCTCATTCAGGGCCTCCTTACTAAGTAAAGCGATAAAATGCTACACACTAACAAGGTCTTTGTGGCTTAAAATTCAGAAAAAGAAAAGTAACTTTGTTTAAAGCTCTGAAATCCCGACCCTCACCCCCATGTAAAATATGTTGTAACGCACCGGTCTCGGATAAACATTTTCAGTCAAAATGGAGGCCTTTCAAACGTCTTCAAAATGGAAACCCGAAAGTCACACGTGGAATAACGTTTTAGCAGTTACAACTGGCTTAATCAAACGACAAAAATAACACAGATAGAATGACACATCCAATAATACATACATGGGACTTGAGACAGTAATTGTTTTTCTTCAAAGTCGGATATTAGTACTGACAAGAAATGCAGGGAAAGAATCAGTTTGCAAGATTCAGGATACTACAAACCGAAGTAGGTAAACATGTTATTTGTATGTGTATGTCATTTATACTGCTTGGTAATACTGACGTTTCGAACTCGGTAGCTGCTGGCGTGATTTTGTGTCTTTTGTGAACGAGTTTGAGTAATTTTTTTACGAGTGCCTAATCATTTGCCCAAACTAAACTTTACATATATTGAAAGGCCTATCCTAGTATAGTTAGAATCTAAAATCTTGTGGAATTCCAAGACATGGCACATGGTCAAAATGACAATTCTTTACACCTGACTTACTAACTCAATTTTGGAGAACACTCTGGTTTTGTTTACCGTCAAATAATATTAATCCAATATTCTTGAAATTGCCCTTTTCTAGACAAGGAATAGTTCTGCAATAAGCTGTTTGTATCACAACTTTTCTGCGAAATGCGAATCGAATGAAAATGGTCGATTTTCAGCCGATTTTCAGCCTAGTTGGGACTCGCTAAATTGCACGAAATTGAGTCTGAAGGTCAAATGGAAAATGTCGTTTTTCTCGGAAAGACAAAGCTATTTCAAGGAAAACCTACAGCCTGTTTGCACTCTTGCTAGGGGCTAGCTATATGCAAAAGACGAGTGAATTTGAATTTTCTAGCCTTGCCGAAGATATTTGATTTTGTTTGATTTTTGTGGGAATTTGCTCTTAAGAATCGAAGGTCGAAAAGGGTCAATTCATACCTCTCAGGTTCGTGCTTTTAACCAATCTGGTTTTCTTTACAAGATCTTATCAACTTCAGAGCAACAAACAGAGACAGCGAACAACGTCAACAACATCTCACTCAGAACCCTACCGTGACAATCAAAACACAAAACTATAACAATATCATCTGATAATTTCCAGGTCAAATGCATATTATTCTTTGGAAGACTCGTTCTGTCTCCTCCCAACCCCTTCTCTTGAAATTTAATCAATGAATATCCCCTCTCTCTTATCTCACGCTCTCATGTGGGTAAACAGGTAATAAGTAAGCATTGTGTGGGTTCACCCTTCCCTTCAACGTCTATAAACAAAGGTTCCGAGTTCCAAGCTTTAAATAATACTAATTTCCTCGTCGATTTTGATAATGTTATACGATCTAAAAAATTGTGCTGACTTTCTCACCCAGAGGTATGGAGCTCCAAGAAGTCAAGCGTAACATAATGGTAAAACCACCTCCAAAGGATCCTTTGAGTCAATCCTCGGGTCAAGATGGCGCAGCTGCTTTAGATAAAGGTGCTGAAGAAAAGCTCATGTCCGTGGCATCGGCTAGATATAAAGCTAAATTTGAACCAACACCTTTCAAGGAATCACTACATACGTGGACGCAAATCACTGGAGACCAATCGAAGGCGGATTCTCCCATTCTGGATAAAAACAGCAATGCTAATAAAGGGGAACCACCTCGCAAAACATTACCCCTATTGGTAAGGATTGACGCAGCGCCTATCAAACCAGCTAAACCGGATTTTTTGAAATTCAGGCTTAGAATGTGGCAAGATAAAATCATTTTCGCGAACAGGGTGACCACTGCTGCTCAAACATGCAAAGAAGGTAGGCCAAAAACAAAGTCAATATACCATTTTATAGCCAAAAATACCGTGGGACCTCATTAACAAGACCACCTGTCGCTCAAAAAATGGTGGTATTAAAATGGTTCTCAAAATTTGAGATGACCGACAACGTGTCTTATTCGGGCCAAAAAGTGGTGCCAACAATGAGGTAGTCTTATGTCATTAATGAGGTGGTCGTAAGGCCAATTCCGCAGTCTAAGAATTCGAATTGACATACTGAAGCCACAAAAAATAAATAATTTTATCCTTGGGCACTTTTTGCGCATGAAAGCATATTATTATTTCCGTATTACTAAACATTTATCGAAACCTTCGAGACGAGAAGAGGGGGGCTTAAGGATCCTCCGGGTATTTGAAACTTTTCTTTCTTAAACAGCATTCTAGCTTTAGTCATCAAAATCGGTGGCTTTCTTAAAAATACCATTTCGGTATGTCAATTGTTTGGTCATGTGTTTTGACGTTTCTCTGTTTTTTTCACTTGATTCTTCGGGACAGAAGTGTCCCCAACAAAATGAAGCCCTGTTCTGATGCATTGGCCAGCTAGCAGGTAAGACAGATATTGGGACTTCAGAAGGCACAGGGTGGTACTCCCAAAGAGGATGGGCTGAATGCATGGGAAGTGTTTTCATCAGACATAGGTTGACCGAATGAACTTTCAGGTTTGACTAACTATTCTTCTGTTTTAACAAGATGACGATTTTTACGAAGACGTGGCATCTGAACTTCAAAGTAGAAATCAAGGTAATTTTTTGAGTGGATATTCACCGAAAAAGCCGCATTCAATTTTAATTACCCGTGAAAACACTGATATGTGCAAATAAGCTAGACGTGACTAACCAGGGGGCGTTGTTCGTCTTCCTCCATACATGTGTGCTATTGTTGTATCTGAACTTAACAAAATTCTCCAGTTCTCTATTCTTATACTTGTGTGTTGAGACACGTACTTTGTGAAGACCTAAGAGGTTTTAGTTTTAACCAACTTTATTTTTGCTTTAAAAGAAGAGGAATTTGAAGAACTTGAAGAGACTTACGATGGTGTGTCATCTGTACTTCAACGCGGAAATCTAGGTAATCTTGTGAAAGGATATTTACCGAATTAAAGCAATCAGTTTTAATTGCCCGTAGAAATAGTTTATACGCAAAGGAACTAAACTTACTGAACATATGACAATCGTTGCATGAGCTCGTGTAGTGCCGAGACGATTTTTGTCATGATCTTGTATTCAAGAAAGGCGAATGGAATGATATTGTCTTGTTCAATTCTTCAAGCAATTGGATGGTGCGGACATTTCAATTTGATCTAGACAAAATTGATGGTATGAAACGACGACAAAAACTGGCATGAGGTGCCCACGTTTTAAGTTGAAATAAGACTCTTCAAATGATTTGTGGAAAGCGAACGACGCAGGGTGTTCATCTGAACTATTCAATTCAGACAATCTCCTCTATATTCTGAAACATTGTGAGCAACGAAAAAGGTTTACTGAAAGATCCGAAGTAATAGCGTTTCAGAAAATTATATGTTTATGGGGAGCAGGAATGGCGTAGTTGGGAGAGTGTTCACCTCCCGCCAACGTGGCACCATAGTTACTAACTATGGTGGCACGGGTTCGATTCCGGCCCGAGGTCATATGTGGGTTGAGTTTGTTGTTGGTTGTCCCCTTGCTCCGAGGGGTTTTCTCCGGGGTTTTCCGCTTTTCCTGACTCCACAAAAACCAACATCTCCAAATTTCGATTCGACCAGGATATGAGGATCTGCGTCAAAATCAGCGGCTTCCTCTCTAAATATTGTAGTTCGTTATTTATAATTAATCCTTCCATTGAAATAAACCAAGAGTTAACTTGTTTGTAATGAAAGGCTGTCATCATGCATGAAGACTACAGATTACTCAGAGTCGATCACGTTCACTGACGTTTAAAACGAGAAGACTCAAATTGAAGGAAATGAACTTTCCAGACGTGTAAAATCTAATTTTATGCTAAAATCTGTTTCCACTCTCTAAAAGAAATTGTCTCGGTTTTGGATCTTCCTATTCAGTCGAGTTTTGTTCTACATTTACGAGCCTTTTCTATTTTACGAACTCTACGTAATTGAGATCATTTACATTCTGTGGGTTTTTGATTTTCCCTATCGAGATGGCATTTAAATCCAACTTTTCTTGTATTTGCGAAGTAGAAATTAAAGTTCACCAAATCTGCTATATTTTCAGCCTTTTTTACGATAGAACTTCCCGCTTCCCGCCGCATATAAAATGAAACTAAAAAGATGAACCCTTGCTTGCTTGTGACCAAGATTCTGTGAACCAA